CCGCGCCACAGCACGGTACTACCGCTGGTGCCTACGGTACTACCGCTCACCAGGGAGCAGTACTACCGCAAGCCAGCACAACAGCCAGAACAAGGAAGAGAAACAAGCGGAGGATGCTCCAAGTTGCAGGGGAAAGGAGGGGACTAGGAAGAAACGTGTACGTGATGATTCCACCCGAACATTTCCGACACTGACCCCCTCTTAATAGTACAGCTTTCCTACGACTCAAATTCACCAAAAAGAAACGTGGAAAAACGCCGTCTTCAATAGTCTTCGAGGGACACCAAACCGTCTTGTGCCTAGCGAAGAAACATCTGGGAAACTCAAGACACACGATTAGTCCGCAAACGCATTGTCATCAATCACCAAAACACCTTAGGAATAAATATGCCCTTACACTTTGCTCTGATAACTTGTAGATTTTTGCAATAATTATATGAGTTCTTTATGACTAAGGTTGAGTCCATGGATCATACGCACTTTTCTTCCTTCCACCATTGCTAGCCTCTCTAATACCGCACACCTTTCGCCGGTATCATACACCCACCATATACCTTCCTCAAAACAGCCACCATACCTACCTATCATGGCATTTCCATAGCCATTCCAAGATATATTGCCATGCAACTTTCCACCGTTCCGTTTACTATGACACGCTCCATCATTGTCATATTGCTTTGCATGATCATGTAGTTGACATTGTATTTCTGGCGAAGCCACCGTTCATAATTCTTTCATACATGTCACTCTTGATTCGTTGCATATCCCGGTACACCGCCGGAGGCATTCACATAGAGTCATATTTTGTTCTAAGTATTGAGTTGTAATTGTTGAGTTGTAAGTAAATAAAAGTGTGATGATCATCATTTTTAGAGCATTGTCCCAAGTGAGGAAAGGATGATGGAGACTATGATTCCCCCACAAGTCGGGATGAGACTCCGGACGAAAAAAAGAGGCCATAAAAAAAGAAAATGCCCAAATAAAAAAATATGAGAGAAAAAAGAGAGAAGGGACAATGCTACTATCCTTTTACCACACTTGTGCTTCAAAGTAGCACCATGATCTTCATAATAGAGAGTCTCCTATGTTATCACTTTCATATACTAGGGGGAATTTTTCATTATAGAACTTGGCTTGTATATTCCAATGATGGGCTTCCTCAAAATGCCCTAGGTCTTCGTGAGCAAGCAAGTTGAATGCACACCCACTTAGTTCCTTTTGTTGAGCTTTCATATACTTATAGATCTAGTGCATCCGTTGCATGGCAATCTCTACTCACTCACATTGATATCTATTGATGGGCATCTCCATAGCCCGTTGATACGCCTAGTTGATGTGAGACTATCTTCCCCCTTTTTTGTCTCCTCCACAACCATCATTCTATTCCACCTAAAGTGCTATGTCCATGACTCACGCTCATGTATTGCGTGAAGATTGAAAAAGTTTGAGAACACCAAAAGTATGAAACAATTGCTTGGCTTGTCATCGGGGTTGTGCATGATTTAAATACTTTGTGTGGTGAAGATAGAGCATGCCAGACTATATGATTTTGTAGGGATAACTTTCTTTGGCCATGTTATTTTGAAGAGACATAATTGCTTAGTTAGTATGCTTGAGGTATTATTATTTCTATGTCAATATTGAACTTTTGTCTTGAATCTTTCAGATCTAAATATTCATACCACAATTAAGAAGAATTACATTGAAATTATGCCAAGTAGCATTCCACATCAAAAATTCTGTTTTTATCATTTACCTACTCGAGGACGAGTAGGAATTAAGCTTGGGGATGCTTGATACGTCTCCAACGTATCTATAATTTTTGATTGTTCCATGCTATATTATATTCTGTTCTGGACATTATTGGGCTTTATTATACACTTTTATATTATCTTTGGGACTAACCTATTAACCGGAGGCCCAACCCAGAATTGCTGTTTTTTTGCCTATTTTAGGGTTTCGCAGAAAAAGAATATCAAACGGAGTCCAAACGGAATGAAACCTTCGGGAACGTGATTTTCGGAACGAACATGATCCAAAGGACTTGGACCCTATGTCAAGCAATCAACGAGGAAGGCACGAGGTAGGGGGTGCACCTACCCCCCAGGCGTGCCCTCCACCCTCGTGGCCCCCTGTTGCTCCACCGACGCACTCCTTCCTCCTATATATACCTACGTACCCCCAAACTACCAGATACGGAGCCAAAACCCTAATTCCACCGCCGTAACTTTTTGTATCCACGAGATCCCATCTTGGGGTCTTTTCCGGAACTCCGTCGGAAGGGGCATCGATCACGGAGGGCTTCTACATCAACACCATAGCCCCTCCGATGAAATGTGAGTAGTTTACTTCAGACCTACGAGTCCATAGTTATTAGCTAGATGGCTTCTTCTCTCTTTTTGGATCTCAATACAAAGTTCTCCCCCTCTCTTGTGGAGATCTATTCGATGTAATCTTCATTTGGGATGTGTTTGTTGAGACCGATGAATTATGGGTTTATGATCAAGTTTATCTATGAACAATATTTGAATCTTCTCTAATTTTTTTATGTATAATTGGTTATCTTTGCAAGTCTCTTCGAATTATCAGTTTGGTTTGGCCTACTAGATTGATCTTTCTTGCAATGGGAGAAGTGCTTAGCCTTGGGTTCAATCTTGCGGTGCCCTTTCCCAGTGATAGTAGGGGCAGCAAGGCACGTATTGTTTTGTTGCCATCGAGGATAACAAGATGGGGTTTATATCATATTGCATGAGTTTATCCCTCTACATCATGTCATCTTGCTTAAAGCGTTACTCTGTTCTCTTGAACTTAATACTCTAGATGCATGCTGGATAGCGGTCGATGTGTGGAGTAATATTAGTAGATGCAGGCAGGAGTCGGTCTACTTGTCTCAAACGTGATGCCTATATACATGATCATACCTAGATATTCTCATAACTATGCTCAATTCTGTCAATTGCTCAACAGTAATTTGTTCACCCACTGTAAATACTTATGCTCTTGAGAGAAGCCACTAGTGAAACCTATGCCCTCCGGGTCTATCTTGCATCATATTAATCTTTCAATACTTAGTTATTTCCTTTGTCATTTATTTTACTTGCATCTTTTAATTTCTCTTTATCATAAAAATACCAAAAATATTCTCCTATCATATCTATCAGATCTCACTCTCATAAGTGACCGTGTAGAGATTGACAACCCCTTTACGCGTTGGTTGCGATGATTTATTTGTTTGTGTAGGTGCGAGGGACTCGTGCGCGGCCTCCTACTAGATTGATACCTTGGTTCTCAAAAACTGTGGGAAATACTTACGCTACTTTGCTGCATCATCCTTTCCTCTTTAAGGGAAAACCAACGCAGTGCTCAAGAGGTAGCAGTGATGTGATGTTTTCATCGATACCCAGTGTCCATGGTGTCTTCACCAATCTCAAGGAGCTCACGCAGGTTCTTATATGGGTAAGGTTTGCACGCATGTCTTCGTATATATGAGCGTATGTGCATGTATGTGAATGTCTACGGTTGTATTGTCTTTCCTAAGAAAAATAAGGACGTAATTTTACACAAACATGTTGTTTGACAAAACAAATAAGAAGGGCACAAATATTGAATTGTTGCAGTAAATGAATACAGTTATTGTGCTTGCTTACTTGTTCTATAATATCTTTTAGCATCAGATTTTAATCATGCAGAAATTGTTATAGTATCTCACATCTTCAACACTTAAATCTGTATAATTTATGGGTTTTCAATCTTGAAATTTTGGGGTTCAAAATCTGGTGTTCAGGCAACGAGAAAAATACTCAAAGCTTTCCCGATGAAATTTGAAATACTCCAGGCTTCACCAGCAAGCCGATGAATTCACCTCCCCTCTGCCGTCCCGCCGGCCAGTGGTGGGGAGGGGGATCCCGATGCCTTTACTCCGGTTGGTAGTTCAGGTTATAGTTGTTCAGCCCTCGGAGGTGTGGCGCTCGGATGGATGGCGACTCTTCTTCTTCGAATTTGTCTTTCGGGTTCCGATCCTCCTCGAGTTCGTCCTTCTTGACGTAGTTGGCGGAGCTCTGGCGTAGATTCCCACCGTCTCATTAGAGCTGTGAGGGTAGGGTTTTCGTAGTGTGAAGAGATTTGATGTCAGGTGCTTCAGACCAGCTATTCAAGGATTCAACGGCAAAGACTACAGCTCCAAGGCACTGGTGACGTGCACAAAGATTTCCCAGCTATCATCGACAAGGTCAAGCCGACTCCAGTAGTGGAGCGGTACAAGGACGCGTGGGCGGCTTGTTCTGACGACGGTAGTGGTCGTTTGGTGATCTCAGAATGTCAATATAATTTTTGTTATGTTTGAGGTGCTTTGTACTTATGATGATATTTGATAATAGACCTGGATCATGTTCGAAAAAAGATGAGGTTTGGAATATTTAATAAATATAAATTTAAAGAATTGTATCTTAAACTTCAATGTCGTAACTTTTAGTTCAGAATTCGTCTCAAAGTATGAAAGTACACTACCATGATCCTTTAATTAGTACGAACCAATCTATAGTTAGAAAAACAGTGGTATCGACTTCAAATCCTAAATATGATTTTGGTGCTCATATTTTTAAAATTTATTTTAGACATTTCGACAATATGCATTCAGTGTGAGAAGATATTTTTGTCGACAACAAAGACGTCTATGGCGACTTCGTCAATTTTATGATGATGTGTTGGGCTAATCTTTTAAAAGTGCTCATAGAGATAAGGTGTGTGTGCCTTCTCATAAAGGATGATTGTATATGCATATATACAAGCTCTTTTTTGTATTAAAATAATCCTTAATTAGTGCAACGGAAACCATAGAAATGATGATGGGACCGTACCGTTTACCCATTGCAGTCCACGTCACTCGTTCTGCACGGCCGCGGCTACAAAAGAACTCGTCTCCTCCGATCTTTTGTGCAAACAACCGCACACCACCTGCTCGATCAATTACCCCGCGCCCCCGCTCGCCTTCGCCCCTGCCGATGAGCTTTCTCGCCGGGCGCCTCGCCGCACAGGAGGGTGCATACTTCCTCCAGGAGTCCAGGAACGCCGCCGGCCGCCTCGCGCAGAAGCTCCCCGCGCCCGAACATGGGCCCAGGCCGGCATCCCCGCCTCCGTCGGCCGACGTGCTCCCGGAGATCCTCCGCCACTCCATGCCTTTAAGGCCCACGCTGCCTCCGCCCAACTCAACCCTGTACGGTTCCACCCGCTTGGCCCTCCCACCAGGCGGCGCAGAGGCTGCCGGCGTGGCCCCCGACGTGCTCAGCCCGCTCCGGTCGTACGTCGCGCTGCCGCAGGCCACCTTCGGCCTCGGCCCCAAAAGGTGCGCCTCTGGCGCCTTCGGTATTGATCTAATTTTTTCGCTCAAGGTAGTTTTGAACTCGGGCGCTCTTACTATGCGTATGCGTCATTAGATAGTTCATCGATTTTTTAACGTGTGCAGAAGCACTCGTTGTACTAGTGGGTTGGAGAACTCACCTTGATACTAGAGGAAGGGATTATGTGATAAAACTTCCACATGGATTAAGGTTAAACTTTGCAACGTTTGATCAACAATTAGTTCTACAATATATGGATTTAGTGATGAACGGTACCCTTTGATTCATGGAGGGGGTACTACTTCTGAAATTTAAAAAGATGATCGACTCTCAGATCAAGAATGGATGCTTGGGTTATAGCGTCAGAATTTAGAACAGTGGAGGGTTGCACAGATTTTCTATTTAAAGCTGCTTGCATAGCATGTTCTATGTTCTTAGTCCCTCAGCTATTCGTAAGGTAATTAAGTTAATACTGTAAAACATAACTGGTGATTCATTTTCATCTTTTTCTAGGTTTCATGTGGATTTATTTACAGATGGGAACTTCCAACTGACAGGCCTCACTATTCATCATCAAGCACCAATGAGGGGCGGCATGATATGCATCCTCCTCCCATGGACCCTGAGAAGTTGAAGGCCGTAATTGCTAGATACTCACAGTGTATGTAACTTGCCAGAGATTTTGTTGTTGTACTAGTGTCGTTAAAGATATGTTGTTCTCACCTTTCGTGGATGCAGTTGGAAAGGCGCTCCTTAGGATTGCTGGGACTATATTGGTGATTGGAGAAGCAACAGCTGAGCTGCTGTATACTGCGAATAAGCTTCAGTTGCATTCTGTAAGTCATGTAACTGGCTCTTGACTAAAAAAATATACTCCTACAAGAGTAAATATACTTTTTTTGTATGAAACAGAGCAAGTATACTTTCTACCTTCAAGAAAAGGAAATAATGTCCTGTCAGATTGCATATACAAATTCTAGGTTGATTGGTTGCAGCATGATTGTATTTGATTTTTGTAATTTTATTGTCAGCCTGTCTTCAGTTTTTAATTGGTCATAAACTTATAGTTCCAGAAAAAATGTGCTCTTCAATTGTTTTCTGTTATGTTGTTTATAATATTTTAGCGTTCTTAAAAAAAGTAATCACGGTACTTTAGTCATTGGCATAGTTGTCAAAGAAAGCTCTGCCCAGTGCCCACACTTCTCTTCCTGACCATTAGCCATATGTCATCATTGTTCACACTCTGACCAAGCATAGAATTTATTTAACATTACTTTCTTGCCAGTTGCCACCATGCAATAAATGAAAAAAAATACGCTTGAGTGATGAGGGGGTTTAGATCTTGTTCGATGATATGCAACTGGTCGGAATTTGAAATACTGCCTCCTTTCACAAATATGTTTTGGATATTTCAATATTGACGACATACGGACTGAAATGGGTGAACAAACAGACTAAAACGAGTCTATATACATCTAATTCAGAAAAAAAAAGGTTAGAACATCTTGTATTTGTGAAAGGAGGGAGTAGCAACTTGTATCCTTAACGAATCAATGTTGACATATACAGAAAATAATACTAAAGGGCACTATTTTTGTACGTAGATTTTCTTAAGATGCAATGACATGATATATACAAATGTTTTTATTCAACCAGCTCCATCACATACAACGCTCAAATAGAGATAACAATGCAATTTGATAGCCATGAGACAGGTTTTGTGGTGATGCAGTATGATTGGATGTCAGTACCAACTTGAAATCCAATGACCGTACCGTCTTATAATTCAACTGAGTCATATAGTAGGTCAACATGGTAAAGAACCAATTTGTGCCAATTCAGAGTTGTATCCTTAAAGGCAACTCTGATTTTTTTTGGATGAACTGACCTTAAATCCTTAATATACTAAACTGTGAGTATTTCATATGAGCTTCCTTGATAAAAACAATTAGCAAGAAAAGAGATGAAAGTCATGACATCTAATTGGCAAATATCCTCTCCAAAATAACATTGATACCTCCTTTCAGGTCGACGACGTCAGAGCTAAAGGAAAAGAACAAGCTGATATGGTCAAAGTACAACTAGCTCCACTAAGGAAATGGGTAACAAAACTGCGGAACCATCCTGCTTTTGACTTTTGAGTCTGATTGTACTTGAGCCTTGGCCTAACTTTGGTTTCTTCTGTTACAAAAATTGACATGTAATTTTCACATACTGAAATTGTAGGCTGAAGACACGTCCCGAAAATGGCATTACGAAGGCAACAAAGAGTCCAAGGAGAAGCCTCTCCTTGATAGAGAGCTTTCAAGAGCACTTAGTGCTAAGACACGTCCGAATTGATCAATACATACAACTTATTGTTGTTGTTGCTGTTCTTGTTGTTGATAAACACAAGCTTATACAGCTATCCACCATTATGAAGCTCTTTATTGTAACCTGTAAGTCCACCATTACAAAACTTCTCACTTGTTTTAGGTGTTTACCTTGTCTATATGTGTAAGATTACAAGGAACCAAACACATGTATATATGTTACACCTATATATATTAAATAAAACACATGGGAAATACCCTTTGGTTCCTGGGTGTATATACACCTCATATGGGGAATTTATTTTTGATAATTAAAGAAAGTCAAAACAGTTTGGAAGTTTTTTTAAAATAAACTTGACTTTCTTTTGCACTAGTATATAAATTTTCATGAATAAAAAACCAGCATCGATTTCAGGGCAAAAAAACAAAATTTATTTGCTATTATAGGTCACTATTCACACTATTTTGATCGATTTTTTTGTCTTCTTTAAAAGAAGTCAACAAGATTTTTTTTTATTTTCATGGAATTCTTTTTACCAGTACAATGAAAGGTCAATTTTATTCAAAAATATTTTCAGAATTTGTTGGCTTTTTTTTTCATATAAGGTGTATATACACCTGCGCATACCCTTTTGATGTGGGAAGCCGGCCTGTAGCTGTATGAGCTTGTGTTTGTCATATCTAGTTAAAGGCTAATTGCCACGCTAGAGAAGAGAAACAGTACAAGTAAGAGGCTACTATAGTCATGTGAAAAGGTCCGTAGAGATAATTGTTTTTGCTTGGGAAAATGGAAGGGCATTGTCAAATCACTCGAGTGTAATTACAAATAGTATTGACTTTTTTTTATCAAAAAATACTAGGTATTGACTTTTTTAAGTCGGCCCCTAAGGATCTCGATTCATTAAAAAAGAGGGTTGCCCGATTAATTATCTGAAAACTAGGGTAAAACCGTCACAACAGTCCACACAGGGCAACATCGGCTGACCTGGCCACCCACACAAAGATACAACAATGATGCATAGAAGAAACACAAAGTCGAGGTCGTCACCAAGCGTCATCGTCATCATCCTCTACGAGCCAATGACTCCGATTTCACCATCGACTTCTACGAACGAAGTCCTCGTTGCCGCAAACGCCGGAACCAATGCCGGCTCATGCCAAACAGTCGGCCACCGCGCAGGCGCCAAACAACTCCGACTATGAAGACCACCAAAACATAGGAGAAACAGGCAGAGTCGGCACCAACTAACACCTCCTCGAAGACCACTAGCCACTTGTCATTATCACCGCCTAGGCACCTCCTGGGCAGCTTCGACTTTGCGACGGCCTGACGAGGCCCAGAAGAAACTTGTCGAGCACACCGGGTAAGAACCGACAATTGAAGCATTGCCATGACCCTGCACCGCTGGCCATCATCATCGTTGCCAAATTGGACACCGCACTACCACACTGTCGGCCGGGCACCTGCCGACCGCAATGCCGTGAGCGTCTAGCACATGGAGAGCATGAACAGGATCCAATGCTCTTCAAGGCGACGCCCCAAAGAGGGAAGAGATGATGCCGACGCCATCACTCGACCCGACTAGGCCTTAGGCTTTAGGTATTCACTTACAACATCACTCCGACTGCACAAGCAAAATGGAGCTAATTACTTTGGCTCCGCTGCTCCGTCGTCCTTGCTCTATTTTCTTCAAGGCAAGGATGGCGATAGTGAACTTGTCTTCTCCTTCTCGAGGTGCCCGACGACACGACGCATGTACTCCTCGAGTATGTCTTCTCCAAAATGGCTCGCTGAAAGGATCGAGAAGAGGTGTCTAGAAGGGGGGGGGTGATTAGACCCTCAACAAGCAAAAGTGGCAGTTTTTAAATCCTTCAAGTTGAGGTGGAGTTTTAGCACAAGTTATGTTGGGGAACGTAGTAATTTCAAAAAATTTCCTACGCACACGCAAGATCATGGTGATGCATAGCAACGAGAGGGGAGAGTGTGATCTACGTACCCTTGTAGATCGACAACGGAAGCGTTAGCACAACGTGGTTGATGTAGTCGTACGTCTTCACGGCCTGACCGATCAAGCACCGAAACTACGGCACCTCCGAGTTCTAGCACACGTTCAGCTCGATGACGATCCCCGGACTCCGATCCAGCAAAGTGTCGGGGAAGAGTTTCGTCAGCACGACGGCGTGGTGACGATCTTGATGTACTACCGTCGCAGGGCTTCGCCTAAGCACCGGTACAATATTATCGAGGACTATGGTGGAAGGGGGCACCGCACACGGCTAAGAATATGATCACGTGGATCAACTTGTGTGTCTAGGGGTGCTCCCTGCCTCTGTATATAAAGGTTCAAAAGGGGGGTGCGGCCGGCCAGGAGAGGGCGCGCCAGGAGGAGTCCTACTCCCTCCGGGAGTAGGATTCCCCCCTTTCCTAGTTGGAATAGGATTCGGGAGGGGGGAAAGACGAGAGAGAGAAGGAAGGGGGGGGGGCGCCGACCCCCTCTCCTTGTCCTATTCGGACTAGGGGGAGGGGCACGCGGCCCAGCCCTGGCCACCTCTCCTCTCTTCCACTAAAGCCCACTAAGGCCCATATACCTCCCGGGGGGTTCCGGTAACCTCCCAGTACTCCGGTAAAATCCCGATTTCACCCGGAACACTTCCGATATCCAAATATAGGCTTCCAATATATCAATCTTTATGTCTCGACCATTTCGAGACTCCTCGTCATGTCCGTGATCATATCCGGGACTCCGAGCAAACTTCGGTACATCAAAATGCATAAACTCATAATATAACTGTCATCGAAACCTTAAGCGTGCGGACCCTACGGGTTCGAGAACAATGTAGACATGACCGAGACACGTCTCCAGTCAATAACCAATAGCGGAACCTGGATGCTCATATTGGCTCCCACATATTCTATGAAGATCTTTATCGGTCAGACCACATAACAACATACGTTGTTCCCTTTGTCATCGGTATGTTACTTGCCCGAGATTCGATCGTCGGTATCTTAATACCTAGTTCAATATCGTTACCGGCAAGTCTCTTTACTCGTTCCATAATACATCATCTCACAACTAACTCATTAGTTGCAATGCTTGCAAGGCTTATGTGATGTGCATTACCGAGAGGGCCCAGAGATACCTCTCCGACAATCGGAGTGACAAATCCTAATCTCGAAATACGCCAACCCAACATGTACCTTTGGAGACACCTGTAGAGCTCCTTTATAATCACCCAGTTACATTGTGACGTTTGGTAGCACACAAAGTGTTCCTCCGGCAAACGGGAGTTGCATAATCTCATAGTCATAGGAACATGTATAAGTCATGAAGAAAGCAATAGCAACATACTAAACGATCGGGTGCTAAGCTAATGGAATGGGTCATGTCAATCACATCATTCTCCTAATGATGTGATCCCGTTAATCAAATAACAACTCTTTTGTTTATGGTTAGGAAACATAACCATCTTCGATTAACGAGCTAGTCAAGTAGAGGCATACTAGTGACACTCTGTTTGTCTATGTATTCACACATGTATTATGTTTCCGGTTAATACAATTCTAGCATGAATAATAAACATTTATCATGATATAAGGAAATAAATAATAACTTTATTATTGCCTCTAGGGCATATTTCCTTTAGTCTCCCACTTGCACTAGAGTCAATAATCTAGTTCACATCACCATGTGATTCAACACTAAGAGTTCACATCACCATGTGATTAACACCCATAGTTCACATCATCATGTGACCTATACCCAAAGGGTTTACTAGAGTCAATAATCTAGTTCACATCATTTATGTGATTAACACCCAAAGAGTACTAAGGTGTGATCATGTTTTGCTTGTGAGATAATTTTAGTCAACGGGTCTGTCACATACAGATCCGTAAGTATTTTGCGAATTCTATCTCTACAATGCTCTGCACGGAGCTACTCTAGCTAATTGCTCCCACTTTAATATGTATCTAGATCGAGACTTAGAGTCATCCAGATCTGTGTCAAAACTTGCATCGACGTAACTTTTTACGACGAACCTTTTGTCACCTTCATAATCGAGAAATATTTCCTTATTCTACTAAGGATAATTTTGACCAATGTCCAGTGATCTAATCTTAGATCACTATTGTACTCCCTTGCTTAACACAGTGTAGGGTATACAATAGATCTGGCACACATCATGGCATACTTTATAGAACCTATGGCTGAGGCATAGGGAATGACTTTCATTCTCTTTCTATCTTCTGCCGTGGTCGGGCTTTGAGTCTTACTCAATTTCATACCTTATAACACAGCCAAGAACTCTTTCTTTGACTGTTCCATTTTTGAACTACTTCAAAATATTGTCAAGGTATGTACTCATTGAAAAAACTTATCAAGCGTCTTGATCTATCTCTATAGATTTTGATACTTAATATGTAAGCAGCTTCACCGAGGTCTTTCTTTGAAAAACTTCTGTAAAAACACTCCTTTATGCTTTGTAGAATAATTCTACATTATTTCCGATCAACAATATGTCATTCACATATACTTATCAGAAATGCTGTAGTGCTCCCACTCACTTTCTTGTAAATACAGGCTTCACTGCAAGTCTGTATAAAACTATATGCTTTGATCATACTATCAAAGCGTTTATTCCAACTCCGAGAGGCTTGCACCAGTCCATAAATGGATCGCTGGAGCTTGCACACTTTGTTAGCTCCTTTTGGATCGACAAAACCTTCCGGCTGCATCATATACAACTCTTCTTCCAGAAATCCATTCAGAAATGCAGTTTTGACATCCATTTGCTGGATTTCATAAAATGCGGCAATTGCTAACATGATTCGGACAGACTTAAGCATAGATACGAGTGAGAAACTCTCATCATACTCAACACCTTGAACTTGTCGAAAACCTTTTTGCGACAATTCTAGCTTTGTAGACAGTAATATTACCGTCAGCGTCAGTCTTCTTCTTAAAGATCCATTTATTCTTAATTGCTTGCCGATCATTGGGCAAGTCAATCAAAGTCCATACTTTGTTC